CATCACGTGACTCCAAGTTTACTTCAATATAATGGTTATTTATCAATATTTACACATAAGGGCGTTTCCACTGACATTTCTCGCATAATTCATATTACGATAAAAAGATCACCATGTCGAACAATTTTACCAATTTTAGTTTCCATCACAGCCGTCGTGATTATTATTTTATTTTTTTATACAGTATGACTTTACTTGCATAAAAACTGTGGATGGAAACGTGGTTTATGTCAAGTCAATCTCCATAGAGGATGGTTTCGTCAATCTGCATGTAGTAAAACAAACTACTGAAAAGTAGAATATCTCCTCAAGCTTTGGATGACAGACAATAATGCAATGTCTGAAAATGTGACAAGCTCAACGCAAACAGAAACCAAAGGGTAAAGAGGGGGCTGTGACAAATCTCTGTTGGAAATGTTGGTTTACTACAGAGGAGAGATGAGATGCCCAACAACTGGTCTATCCTCATAAAAACTCAGACCCATTTAGGCTACTAACAGTGTATTTGGCCTATTTTTTTAAAAATATATCAAAACCAGAGACAGCAGCATTGTCAACCTGATTCCACGATGATAAAACAACCCAAAAATTAGAGAGATGTTTATATTGGTAAAAACGTCCTAATTCTTCAGATCACTTGTGGATCAACAAGATATTAGGTAGCAGGTCACACTTTTCTCTCTCCATACTGCAGCGACACAAACAGGAAATACATTCCACATGACCACAGAAGGCAGACATGGCAATAGAAGCTGCCTTTTGCTCAACAACAATACCAAAGACCTCTGTGTTGTAGTAGCACATATTTGAAGGATATGTGGGGATTATTCAAATCCTTTAAATCCGTTAATAAGATAGTCAGTTGAGTTGGACAGTACTGTTTGAATGTGTCTTATGTGTGTAACATTCAGCCACACAGAGGTGTTCACAATCAATAATATCATTTAAAAACTAAACCTCAGGCCGGCCCCAGGTGGTGAGGGTAGGCAACAACTAGGGCTGGCACAATTATCAGATAATCGTGTAACCGACAATTATGGACAATAACCATGAGCAAAAACAATTTGTCATAATCTTCTTAATACATTCATTTTTAGGAGAAGGGGGAATTTACTTTTATATTCAAGCAGATATAGTTTACCCAACAGCAATTTTTAAGTTTTACATGAAGTGGGTAAAATTGGTAATAATTTTACGAGCAGAACTGCACCGTCGGGAGGAGAAGCTTCATTTCCAAAAGTCCCAAGCTGTCAAAGCAATTAGTTTTGGAGCTGGGGGTGTCACCAAAGCTGTGTTGTATGCATTACATATGTCATAGATCATTTTCAAAGCTGCATTATGATGCATTACAAGCTCAAAACATATAACAAAAATGACAACTATGATAATAACGTCAACATTTGCATAACAATTAATTGTTACCCAGAATTCCATAATCTTCACAGCTCTAGCAACACCTCCGCCACGCTGACCCTCAACACGGGGGCCCCCTCAGGGGTTTGTGCTTAGTGCTCTCCTGTACTCCCTGTTTACCCAAGACTGCGTGGCCACGCACGACTCCAACGCCATCAAGTTTGCTGACGACACAGTGGTAGGTCTGATCACCGACGAGTCAGCCTACAAGGAGGAGGTCAGAGACTTAGCAGTGTGGTGCCAGGTCAACAACAACCTCTCCCTCAACTTCAATAAGACCAAGGCAATGATCGTGGACTATAGGACAAAGAGGGGAGAGCTTGCCCCCATCAACATTGACGGGGCTGTTGTGGAGCAGGTCGAGAGCTTCAAGTTCCTTGGCGTCCACATCACTAAAGATGGACCACACACACCCATACAATCGTGAAGAGGCCAAGGCAGAGCCCTTTCCCCCTCAGGAGGCTGAAAAGTTTTGGCATGAGCCCTCGGATCCTTCTACAGCGGCACCAACGAGAGCATCTCGAGTGGCTGCATCACCACTCTGTATGGCAAATGCACCGCCCTTGACCGCAAAGCGCTACAGAGGGTGGTGCAGACAGCCCAGTACATCACTGGGGCCGAGCTCCCTGCCATCCAGGACCAGTATATCAGGCGGTGTCAGAGGAAGGCCCGATTGCCAAAGACTCCAGCCACCCAAGCCATAGACTGTTCACTCTGCTACCGGGCAAATGGTATCGGACAAACAGGCTCCGAGACAGCTTCTATCTTATTATTATCCATCTTGATGCCTAGTCACTTTACCCTGCCTTCATGTACATATCTACCAAAACATTGATCTGGTACTGGTACTCCCTGTATATACTGTATGAAAATGTATGCACTCACTAACTGTAAATCGCTCTGGATGAGAGCGTCTGCTAAATAACTAAAATGTAAAATAAAAAAAATAAAAAAATACTGTAGCGCCATTCTTGTGTATTTTATTCCTCATGTTACTATTATATTATTAAACTCTGCATCGTTGGGAAGGACTCGTAAGCAAGCAAGTATTTCACGGTAAAGTCTACACCAGTTGTATTCGGCACGTTACAGATAAAATTTGATTTGAGTGGGAATATACTGTAATACTGGCCTTTATATTGGCAAAATGTGTCAAATTCTCAATCCAACATCACCGCCCAAGCAGAAAACTATAACATTCAACAAATCATGCAATACCCAGATCAATATAGAATATCGAAAACAACGGTGCAGGTTACCAAATGCACAGGATAGTAAGGGCTACTCCCGTTCTGAGGATGCAGCAAGCTTGCTCCGACTGTCACTCACTGGTTAGCTTGCTATAACACACAAGCAAATGTTTATGAAAGCGAGACATAATGCAACCTAGATATACTACCACGGCTAAATACCGATAGATCACGAGTGTAAAGTCAGTAGATATCTAGCTAGCACATAGTAAGCAGATATGAGCTCGGAAGACCAGTTGGGGAGGTAGATTTTTCTTTCAAGTAAAGAGGTCGCAAAATTGCCCAACCGCCTCGCTAGTTGTTATAAAAAGCCAATTTAGATTTTACCTACTATAAATCGGTGATCCTCTTTCAAATCCGACCAGCTTGGTACTAGCCGGTTGTGTTGTCAGTTCAAGTGAGCCGACTTAACCAGCTTTGAAGCATAGAAAAATGCATAGACGTAGCTCGTAGGCTAGTATTTATGAATCTGATCACTATTTAGCAGGAAGGTGCAATAGAACCTCCGCAAGCGCAGTACGCCAGTTTCATCGAAACTCATGCAGACAACAAGGGGCACTATGTTGCAAGCTATTAATACGGCCTTTTAACGCCCTAAACTGAAACGAATTCGCCTCTGTCAAGCTCGAGTGGAGAAAAAGTTCGGCAACATAATAGTTACACAAAATAAATAAGAAAATATCACTGTAACAAACGCTACCCGGTTTGGAAAAACATTAGCCACACACCCAAAGATCTAACGTTAGCAGTCAAGTAGTGGGCTGTAAATTTGCAGAATACCATAGACTATTAGAAGGGTTCCCTACCTATTGTAAACATTTTTGGCCCCTCCTTAGACAAGTTTACCTAGCTTAGTTAACTAGCATTAGTTAGCTGGCTGGCTCCCTGAACCTCGAAAGACACTCCTTGAAATTGCCTCGCAGGGAGGGAAAATATTTAAAAATCTTTGCAAAAATAATGTCCCAAAACCAATCAATCAAACCACACTAGCTAACGTTAGCTAGTCCACATTTACATTAGATCAGGGATATGTTAGAATAAATACTAAAGCCAGTTCACTACTAAGCATTCATAGTTTGAATATCTTAGAATTTCTCGAACTGTTGCTAAATTGTAGGTTTCTGGTTAGTAGCTACTGAACGGCCACAGTACTCCCAAAGACCACAGCTAACTTAGCTAGCTAGTTATCGACAACTAATGTTAGCATTAGCTCTCTGCGACACGATTTTTTAAGATAGCACACAATAAAAACAAACCTAATACAACTGGCACAGTCGGGTACTATTCCTTGTTCTAACAACTGTGATTTGTGAGGGGTGTACATTTGTTAAGAGCTTTCAGATAAAACGTGTTTTAATCAAAGGACAGTTGATAGGCGCATCACTTACCTGCTAGCTAGGCATCAACCCTCTTGACAGCGAATGAAGTCTGTATACAACGGATGTGACGTTTCTCCATATAAACCAGAGCGCGTGAGACAAATTACAAACATCGCTTGATCACACGGATCAGACACACTCAAAAACCTCGAATTCGAAGTGAATGCAAAGGTGAAAGCTTCAGATTGAAACAGATTTTTATAATAGCATTACTTCATCACAAAGATTGTTTTATGTAGATAATATGGCATGGCATTAGCTACAAATTCAAGTGTGGAAGAACAATACATTACGCTTTTGATAACTAATTTGATAATTATTTGAATCGATTAGGTGTATTTATAAACAATCCCACTGAAAGGGTAGAAAATGTTTTTTTGCTACAAGAATCGAATTTTCGCACAAGGGTGTTTAGGCCTATCCCGTGGAGTTCTCCGCCCTCTAGTGGTCTTTTTAAACTGGATAGGTGTAATATCACTTATCAAACACTAGAGTGCGACAAAGATTCGACACTAACATGTCTCCCACTGGACGAGACGCACTTTGGTGGTCCACACGTTGACGGTGTTCTAATAATAGAATTATCAACGACATAAATTGTTATGCAAATTTGGACTGTAACAAATTTTTTTGCTACAATATTTAGCATGAATTTACATTTCCCTTGGTTCCTATTATGTTTAAAACATAATATTCATAAAAATAGTATCACATCTGGAGGCTACCCTCCTGACAATTACAGTTTATTAATTCGTTTTTACTTGTGTGCAGTAACGTTTATGTAACTTTAGAAGTTGACTTCATTTTATTCAATGTTGTCACTCCATTTTATAATTGACAGTGCTGTTGTTTTTTGTCATGGAATTTGGTAAAACTACTCGATGTCTTGAATTGTACGTTTAGTCGGTTGGTAATGTTATGGACTTAGCTACATAACATTGTCTTGATCGCTGCATTACTGATACAGTGTGTGTGGCTGTGCTGCACGTCCCAAGTATCGTGTTATTATAGGAGGGGCAAGTGTAGCGGGTTGGTTTCCCTTCAAAAGCCTCTCCTCTCGCTCCTCACAGTCTCACTCAGCCAGGGTAGTTGAGCTGAAAGGACCGCGTCCAGCACCTCTCGACACCATGGGACTCACACACGACCCAACCTTCCAGAAACTGGAGAAATGGTACCATGAACATGCTCCGCACCTCAACATGAGGAAGATGTTTGAGGAAGACAAGGAGAGATTCCACAAATTCAGGTATCTTTATGGTTGACTTTTATTTTGAAAATGTCAGTGTTTATTTGTTGAAGATACACACAGTATCCTTATTCTCAAAAAAAAGTATTACATCATCAGTGTAAAATGGGAGTTCAATTAAAATGCTGTCCATCAGAACATGTTGTCTTCACTTCAGGCTATTACCTCTAGACATAGGCTAAAACCACATAATGTGTCATCATGAACAGACGCTATTGGCAATAAAAAACGACTGTACAATTGGAGATCTTTGCCATTGCATCACTGACATAATTCAGTAGTGCCTTTTATCAGAGTAGCCTATGGGCTTCCACACCATAAAAAATGCACAGCACTGTCACTGTATGTAGACTTGTGGCTGAACTCTCTTCATGTATCGCTAGGGGGGTGCAGGTTTGTTGCCTGTCTGTATTGCTGTCTGTATTGTAATAACCCTAACCTTCATAAGTGCATTACAAGCACTTCCACACACACAAGCAAACAGTAGAATTGGGATACCCTGCTTTCCTTAGGATTAGAAAGAAGTGGGTTCAAGTTTCGATTGGGCTACCACTCAAATTCACTACAAAATGCTTGTCGGAAGTTTACATACACATTAGCCAAATACATTTAAACTCAGTTTTTCACAATTCCTGACATTTAATCCTAGTAAACATTCCCTGTCTTAGGTCAGTTAGGATCACCAATTTATTTTAAGAATGTGAAATGTCAGAATAATAGTAGAGAGAATGATTTATTTCAGCTTTTATTTCTTTCATCACATTCCCAGTGGGTCAGAATTTTACATACACTCAATTAGTATTTGGTAGCATTGCCTTTCAATTGTTTAACTTGGGTCAAACGTTTCAGGTAGCCTTCCACAAGCTTCCCACAATAAGTTGGGTGAATTTTGGCCCATTCCACCTGACAAAGCTGGTGTAACTGAGTCAGGTTTGTAGGCCTCCTTGCTCGCACACGCTTTTTCAGTTCTGCCCACACATTTTCTATAGGATTGAGGTCAGGGCTTTGTGATGGCCACTCCAATACCTTGACTTTGTTGTCCTTAAGCCATTTTGCCACAACTTTGGAAGTATGCTTGGGGTCATTGTCCATTTGGAAGACCCATTTGCGACCAAGCTTTAACTTCCTGACTGATGTCTTGAGATGTTGCTTCAATATATCCACATAATTTTCCTTCCTCATGATGCCATCTATTTTGTGAAGTGCACCAGTCCCTCCTGCAGCAAAGCACCCCCACAGCATGATGCTGCCACCCACGTGCTTCACGGTTGGGATGGTGTTCTTCGGCTTGCAAGCACCCCTTTTTCCTCCAAACATAACGATGGTCATTATGGCCAAACAGTTATATTTTTGTTTCATCAGACCAGAGGACATTTCTCAAAAAAGTACGATCTTTGTCCCCATGTGCAGGTGCAAACCATAGTCTGGCTTTTTTATGGCGGTTTTGGAGCAGTGGCTTCTTCCTTGCTGAGCGGCCTTTCAGGTTATGTCGATATAGGACTCGTTTTACTGTGGATATAGATACTTTTGTACCTGTTTCCTCCAGCATTTTCACAAGGTCCTTTGCTGTTGTTCTGGGATTGATTTGCACTTTTCGCACCAAAGTACGTTCATCTCTATGCGTCTCCTTCCTGAGCGGTATGACGGCTGCGTGGTCCCATGGTGTTTATACTTGCGTACTATTGTTTGAATGTGGTACCTTCAGGCATTTGGAAATTGCTCCCAAGGATGAACCAGACTTGTGGAGGTCTACCATTTTTTTCTGAGGTCTTGGCTGATTTCTTTTGATTTTCCCATGATGTCAAGCAAAGAGGCACTGAGTTTAAAGGTAGGCCTTGAAATACATCCACAGGTACACCTCCAATTGACTCAAATGATGTCAATTAGCCTATCAGAAGCTTCTAAAGCCATGACATCATTTTCTGGAATTTTCCAAGCTGTTTAAAGGCACAGTCAACTTAGTGTATGTACACTTCTGACCCACTGGAATTGTGATACAGTGAATTATAAGTGAAATAATCTGTCTGTAAACAATTGTTGGAAAAATTACTTGTGTCATGCACAAAGTAGATGTCATAACCGACTTGCCAAAACTATAGTTTGTTACAAGACATTTGTGGAGTGGTTGAAAAACAAGTTTTAATGACTCCAACCTAAGTGTATGTAAACTTCCGACTTCAACTGTAGATTTGTTTCATGGTAAAGGGCTGTTTGATTTTGTAACTTGTGGGCAAAAGGTTATTGAGTCTATTGCCTAAATCCAATCCAGAAACAGACAGAATGACATATAGAGTCCCTAATTTAATAGGATCTCTGTGGAAACAGATCTCTCACCCTGTCAAATGTTCTGTGTCTGTACAGCACAACACTGAAGACTGATCATGGAGACATTCTAATTGATTACTCTAAGAATCTCATCACTGAGGATGTCATGAAGATGTTGGTCGAACTGGTAAATGGCTGTTTATCATAATGATTCAAATGACACAACAATTACAAATAGCCATACTGTAGTTGGCATTTACCTATAGTCATTACACTGTTATGAAATATAAAGAAACATTTAATAGAGCCAGACAAAGTTAGCCTGAGTGCCAGTCATTGTGCTCTCATACCAACTAATTGTCATGCCAAACATTGTCTTGACAATGAGCAATGGAGTAAGCAAGAGCACAAACAGATCTGGGACCAGGCTAAGACAGAGTTGTATTTACCATGCAACTAAGCACCAATGTCCTTAAGCCTAAGTGATACAGTGAGGTTCAAACATTAATAAGCCTGGTGCTAAAAATAAATGACAAACTTTTATCACACACATCACACTTATGCTTGGATTTTAAAAAACGGTCTTCTTCTGCTGTGCGTCCAGTACCCTATCAACCTTTCTGACATGGAACGCCCATTTGCCCACCAATGGATGTATATATTTTTTCTCTAGGGTAAGTCGAGGGGGATTGAGGCCGCCAGGGACAAGATGTTCCATGGGGACAAGATCAACTTCACTGAGGTGCATATCTTAGCTTTAGCCAGAGCGTGTTTTATTGTCAATGTAATTATCATCGTGATAGTGAATGGCCAAATGTAACACACCTGACACCTTCTCAGAAATTGGTTTGAAACAATCAATGGCACTACATACATTTGCTGTAATTCCCATATCAGTGTGTGTCCTTACTGTATCTCCTCCTCCTCCTGTGTGGTTAGGGCCGTGCCGTGCTCCACGTGGCTCTGAGGAACCGCTCCAACCATCCCATCATGGTTGACGGACATGATGTGATGCCTGAGGTCAACAAAGTCCTGGAGAAGATGAAGGGCTTCTGCCACGTGAGTGGGAGCTGACTCAAGGGTCTCAATTTCGTAGCAACCCCCCAAACCGCGTAGTGAGACCGTTTGTATTTCCAGTTTGAATAGTTACAGTACCGTTTATACATAGAATTGCTAGCTATCTCCCTGTGGTAGTCAAGGCATACCAAATTAAATTTGACTGAATTGTGTAGGCCACTTTTTTCAATGGTCTACGCGTTTGTGTCTGGTGTAGAAAGTTCGCAGTGGCGAGTGGAAGGGCTGGACTGGAAAGTCCATCACAGACGTTGTCAATGTCGGCATTGGTGGATCTGACCTAGTAAGTACAGTTCTCAACCATATCATTTGTTAAAGTGTCAATATAATGTTTCACTATTAGGTGTAAAAGCTACCTCTGCCATCATTGTGTATTTGTTGTGTCTTCTTTGCCAGGGTCCTCTAATGGTGACTGAGGCTCTGAAGAACTACTCCAAGGGAGGTCCCCGTGTGCATTTTGTCTCCAACATTGACGGCACACACATCGCCAAAACCCTGGCTGAGCTCAATGCTGAAACCACCCTCTTCATCGTGGCCTCCAAGGTGCCTGCTTTTGGTTGTCTTTACCATACCAGTGCATTCACTGGTTTTATTGTTTTCTCTGAACACTTGAGAGAGAGATATCCGTCTGCAAAATTGGCATAGAAAATGTGCAAGAAAGACATACACATGAATAAAAACACATTGACAAAGAGCAAAGAAACTGTGCAGCTGATAATATATGGGAAAAATCATAAAGTTCCACTCGGCTTTAGCAGCAACAGTTGTTTGATATAATGGAAGTTTCCATTGAAACAAAGGGATCAGGTGGTGCTGCAGGGCTGCATGCCATGTCGTGCCTTCTCACCTACGCCTCTGTAGAGTTACAGCCAAAGATATGTCTGAATGGCTCTCCTACTGTCACCCAGCCTTGAGACTGGGTGGAGAGAGCAGTATGAACTGCTAGGGATTTAGTACTGTACACAGTAGCCTAAACACACATTAGAAATGCAATGTCTTTTGTGTTACTGTAGTGATCTAATTGTCTGTCCCTTTTCAGACTTTCACCACCCAAGAGACCATCACCAACGCAGAGTCTGCCAAGGAATGGTTCATTGAGCACGCTAAAGATGTGGGTAGCCTTTTCACCTTTAGAAACATACAGTGGGGAGAACAAGTATTTGATACACTGCTGATTTTGCAGGTTTTCCTACTTACAAAGCATGTAGAGGTCTGTAATTTTTTATCATAGGTACACGTCAACTGTGAGAGACGGAATCTAAAACAAAAATCCAGAAAATCACATTAATTAATTAAGTAATTAATTTGCATTTTATTGCATGACATAAGTATTTGATCACCTACCAACCAGTAAGAATTCCGGCTCTCACAGACCTGTTAGTTTTTCTTTAAGAAGCCCTCCTGTTCTCCACTCATTACCTGTATTAACTGCACCTGTTTGAACTTGTTACCTGTATAAAAGACACCTGTCCACACACTCAATCAAACAGACTCCAACCTCTCCAGACTAGAAAGCTGTGTAATTGTAGACCTGCACAAGGCAGGGATGGGCTACAGGACAATAGGCAAGCAGCTTGGTGAGAAGGCAACAACTGTTGGCGCAATTATTAGAAAATGGAAGAAGTTCAAGATGACGGTCAATCACCCTTGGTCTGGGGCTCCATACAAGATCTCACCTCGTGGGGCATCAATGATCATGAGGAAGGTGAGGGATCAGCCCAGAACTAAACGGCAGGACCTGGTCAATGACCTGAAGAGAGCTGGGACCACAGTCTCAAAGAAAACCATTAGTAACACACTACGCCGTCATGGATTAAAATCCTGGTCCCCCTGCTCAAGCCAGCGCATGTCCAGGCCCGTCTGAAGTTTGCAATGACCATCTGGATGATCCAGAGGAGGAATGGGAGAAGGTCATTTGGTCTGATGAGACAAAAATATAGCTTTTTGGTCTAAACTCCACTCGCCGTGTTTGGAGGAAGAAGAAGGATGAGTACAACCCCAAGAACACCATCCCAACCGTGAAGCATGGAGGTGGAAACATCATTCTTTGGGGATGCTTTTCTGCAAAGGGGACAGGACTACTGCACCGTATTGAGGGGAGGATGGATGGGGCCATGTATCGCGAGATCTTGGCCAACAACCTCCTTCCCTCAGTAAGAGCATTGAAGATGGGTCGTGGCTGGGTCTTCCAGCATGACAACGACCCGAAACACACAGCCAGGGCAACTAAGGAGTGGCTCCGTAAGAAGCATCTCAAGGTCCTAGAGTGGCCTAGCCAGTCTCCAGACCTGAACCCAATAGAAAATCTTTGGAGGGAGCTGAAAGTCCGTATTGCCCAGCAACAGCCCCGAAACCTGAAGGATCTGGAGAAGGTCTGTATGGAGGAGTGGGCCAAAATCCCTGCTGCAGTGTGTGCAAACCTGGTCAAGACCTACAGGAAATGTATGATCTCTGTAATTGCAAACAAAGGTTTCTGTACCAAATATTAAGTTCTGCTTTTCTGATGTATCAAATACTTATGTCATGCAATAAAATGCAAATGAATTACTTAAAAATCATACAATGTGATTTTCTGGATTTTTGTTTTAGATTCTGTCTCTCACAATTGAAGTGTACCTATGATAAAAATGACAGACAAAGGAAAGGCGAATGAATTTTATTACTGAAGAGGAATGCAAAGTATATTAGATTAAACATTGTCTTCTTTACAGAAATCTGCTGTTGCCAAGCACTTCGTGGCGCTCTCCACTGCCGGCGTAAGTTCTTATCTTTGCAACACACCATCATAAATGCAGTGATATGCTCTGCATGTGTTGCTTTAAAATAAAATAAAATAACATTATAATTCTGTTCTTTCTATCTCCTCTCTTCTGCAGCCCTTAGTGAAGGACTTTGGCATTGATCCTGACAACATGTTTGGCTTCTGGGATGTGAGTGCATGTTATCTGATGATGCAGAATGTTGTGTGTGCAGTGCATTGGGGGCAGCACAGTGCTCTTCCTGCAGTCACAGGCTTTTGACGGGGGGGGACTTAGGCAACAGCTATAAATAGCGTAAACTTCTGACCTGTGAAGTAGGTGCCTGGGCACACAGGCTGGCAGCTGTGGGGTAATCAGAAGCCGCCCTCTCCAGCTCTGCCCTCAAAGATTATTATATGATTGGTAGCGACCTTCTTCCTTGGAGAGGTTACTGTAAAGGCTGGGTCGCATGAAAGGTCAGAAAGCTACATTTAGTTACATTGTTGGTATTTAAAGGGTAAAGGCTCTAACAGGCCGTGCCCTTTCACGTCGGAGCAAAGATGGCTGCTTGCACTCAGAAGTAATATGTATAAAAGGTAGTGGTGTGTATTCATGCATGCCAAGGGAAGACAGGCTTCCCCAAAAACCTTACCAAGAAAAAATGGAAAAAAAATAATTTGCAAGAGGCTGAATGTATCTTACCGGAGAACGCATCCGAGCAAACAAAACAACGCCCCTCTGTCTCAGTATGTGTAGCGTATCTATCTGATGCTGTCTGGTCAGAAAGAGTATGACATTGTTGCCACCCGTAGCATTGAATGCAAGGGAAGCAGCCTCCCTTGATAAAAATAATAATAATAGCCAATCAACGTTGAGCTAAACTGAGTGAGCTCAGCTGTGAATGCTCCTGGCGCACCAAATAAAGTGTCAAAGGAAGCCAGTTTGGATTTGGCTTCAGACCAATCACTTCATAAGCCAAACATCATTATTGACAGAAAGACATTTGAATTGTGGCATCTCGTTGTGATGTTGTCCTCTGGTGGCTAACTAGCTAGCTAAAATCCTCTCTTTCCTAAATTAGCCATCGATGGAGATAGGGATTTAGACTTGTGGTTTTACTTAATTCTCCGTACTGGCCAATTATTATAACGACAATTCTGACCCGACCATAAATTCATACATTGTGCCCCTGGCCTGAGAGGATGAAAGATCAACATGTAGCTAGATGTAGTATGGTAATGTTAACTAGCTGGCCTGGCGTATCGTTGCCCATGAAAGGAAGTTAGGCTAGCGAGCAAGTATTTTAGCCAGGTAGCCTAGGACAACAAAAACTAAAAGCGTGTACTGTATGACAGAGTCATAGACCGTTTAGGCAACATGAAAGAGAGGAGGATGGCATTGGTGTTTCTCTACAAGTAGGGTGAGTCAATATGTTTTTTATACTTGCACGCACACACACACCACACACACACCTACACACAGAAATCAGTACCATAGACAGCCACATCATATTTAGGTTACGTTGATTGGACTAAATAGTTTTTGGTATTTTTTAGTTGTCACCGTATTAGACGAAGCATAGGTGATTAGATGATGTTGAAATGGTGCTGGAATAGTGGAGGCAGCTCCTGTTATCTTTGCAACTTGTGGTAACTCTCTTTTTCTAAATCAATAGTTGTTGAGTAGTCCGAAAATCTCAGAAACATTACCTTGCTCGACCATGCTGTAGGTCATGTAACTGTTTGTTACATGCAATATGTTTTGTGGACTTCACCGGACAGATGTTGCTCTCTGGTTTTGTAATGAAACAAATGTGTGGTTGAATCTATTCTGCCACTGTGTCTTCTCATTGTCTCGGCCTTAGGCCTATATACTGTATCACGGTGTCCAGGCATATGAATCAAATCAAATTTTATTGGTCACATACACATATTTACAGTGGCTTGCGAAAGTATTTACCCCCCTTGGCATTTTTCCTATTTTGTTGCCTTACAACCTGGAATTAAAATTGATTTTTTGGGGGGTTTGTATCATTTCATTTACACAACATGCCTACCACTTTGAAGATGCAAAATATTTTTTCTTGTGAAACAAACAAGAAATAAGACAAAAAAACGGAAAACTTGAGCGTGCATAACTATTAGCCTCCCCCCCCCCAAAGTCAATACTTTGTAGAGCCACCTTTTGCAGCAATTACAGCTGCATGTCTCTTGGGGTATGTCTCTATAAGCTTGGCACATCTAACCACTGGGATTTTTGCCCATTCTTCAAGGCAAAACTGCTCCAGCTCCTTCAAGTTGGATGGGTTCCGCTGGTGTACAGTAATCTTTAAGTCATACCACAGATTATCAATTGGATTGAGGTCTGGGCTTTGACAAGGCCATTCCAAGACCTTTAAATGTTTCCCCTTAAACCACTCGAGTGTTGCTTTAGCTGTATCCTTAGGGTCATAGTCCTGCTGGAAGGTGAACCTCCGTCCCAGTCTAAAATCTCTGGAAGACTGAAACAGGTTTCCCTCAAGAATTTCCATGTATTTAGCGCCATCCATCATTCCTTCAATTCTGACCAGTTTCCCAGTTCCTGCCGATGAAAAACATCCCCACAGCATGATGCTGCCACCACCATGCTTCACTGTGGGGATGGTGTTCTCGGGGTGATGAGAGGTGTTTGGTTTGCGCCAGACATAGCGTTTTCCTTGATGGCCAAAAAGCTCAATTTTAGTCTCATCTGACCAGAGTACCTTCTTCCATATGTTTGGGGAGTCTTCCACATGCTTTTTGGCGAACACCAAACGTGTTTGCTTAATTTTTTTTCAAGCAATGTTTTTTTTCTGGCCACTCTTCCGTAAAACCCAGCTCCGTGGAGTGTATGGCTTAAAGTGGTCCTATGGACAGACACTCCAATCTCCGCTGTGGAGCTTTGCAGCTCCTTCATGGTTATCTTTGGTCTCTTTGTTGCCTCTCTGATTAATGCCCTCCTTGCCTGGGCCGTGAGTTTTGGTGGGCGGCCCTGTTGGCAGGTTTGTTGTGGTGCCATATTCATTCCATTTTTTTAATTCATTCCATTCCATATTTTTTTAGAACCCAACCTTGATCTGTACTTCTCCACAACTTTGTCCCTGACCTGTTTGGAGAGCTCCTTGGTCTTCATGGTGCCGCTTGCTTGGTGGTGTCCCTTGCTTAGTGGTGTTGCAGACTCTGGGGCCTTTCAGAACAGGTGTATATATACTGAGATCATGTGACAGATCATGTGACACTTAGATTGCACAAAGGTGGACTTTATTTAACTAATTATATGACTTCTGAAGGTAATTGGTTGCACCATATCTTATTTAGGGGCTTCATAGCAAAGGGGGTGAATACATATGCACGCACCACTTTTCTGTTATTTATTTTGTTGAATTTTTTGAAACAAGTAATTTTTTCATTTCACTTCACCAATTTGGACTATTTTGTGTATGTCCATCACATGAAATCCAAATAAAAATCCATTTAAATTAAAGGTTGTAATGCAACAAAATAGGAAAAACGCCAAGGGGGATGAATATTTTTGCAAGGCACTGTAGCAGATGTTATTGCGGGTGTAGCGAAATGCTGCGCCAACAGTGCAGTAGTATCTAACAATTCACAACAATACACACAAATCTAAAAGTAAAAGAATGGAATTAAGAAATATGTAAATATTAGGACGAGCAATGTCGGAGTGGCATTGACTAAAATACAGTAGAATAGAATACAGTATATACATATGAGATGAGTAAAGCAGTATGTAAACATTATTAAAGTGACTAGTGTTCCATTATTCAAGTGGCCAGTGATTCCATGTCTATAGGGCAGCAGCCTCTAAGGTGCAGGGTTGAGTAACCGGGTGATAGCCGGCTAGGGATGGCTATTTAACAGTGGCTATTTTTACCTTCTCCACTGCGGTCCCGTCGATGTGGATAGGGGCGTGCTCCTTCTGCTGTTTCCTAAAGTCCACGATCAGCTCCTTCATTTGTTGACATTGATGGAGAGGTTATTTGCCTGGCACCACTCCGCCAGGGCCCTCACCTCCTCCCTGTAGGCTGTCTTATCATTGTTGGTAATCAGGCCTACTACTGTTGTGTCGTCTGCAAACTTGATGATTTGAGTTGGAGGCGTGCATGGCCACGCAGTCATGGGTGAACAGGGAGTACAGGAGGGGACTGAGCACGCACCCCTGAGGGGCCCCCGTGTTGAGGATCAGTGCGGCAGATGTGTTGTTACCTACCCTTACCACCTGGGGGCTGCCCGTCAGGAAGTCCAGGATCCAGTTGCACAGGGCGGAGTTCAGACCCAGGGCCCCAAGCTTAATGATGAGCTTGGAGGGTACTATGGTGTAGAAGGCTGAGCTATAGTCAATGAACAGCATTCTTACAAAGGTATTCCTCTTGTCCAGATGGGATAGGGTAGTGTGCAGTGCGATGGCGATTGCATCGTCTGTGGATCTATTGGGGCGGTGCGCAAATTGAAGTGGGTCTAGGGTGTCAGGTAAGGTAGAGGTGATATGATCCATAACTAGCCTCTCAAAGCACTTCATGATGACAGAAGTGAGTGCTACGGGGGCGATAGTCATTTAGTTCAGTTACCTTTGCTTTCTTGGGTACAGGAACAATGGTGGACATCTTGAAGCAAGTGGGGACAGCAGACTGGGATAGTGAGAGATTGAATATGTCCGTAAACACTCCTGCCAGCTGGTCTGCACATGCTCTAAGGACGCGGCTTGGGATGCCGTCTGGGCTGAGGGTTAACACGCTTAAATGTCTTACTCACGTCGGCCACGGAGAAGGAGAGCCCACAGTCCACAGGAGTGGGCCGCGTCGGTAGCACTGTGTTATCCTCAAAGCGGGCGAAGAAGGCGTCGGTGTCCACGACGTGGTTGGCTTTCCCTTTGTAATCTGTAGACCCTGTCACATATGTCGCGTGTCTGAGCCATTGAATTGCGACTCCACTTTGTCTCTGTACTGACGTTTTGCCTGTTTGATTGCCTTACGGAGGGAATAACTACACTGTTTGTATTCAACCATATTCCCAGTCACCTTGCCATGGTTAAATGCGGTGGTTCACGCTTTAAGGTTCGCGTGAAAACTGCCATCTATCCACAGTTTCTGATTTGGGTAGGTTTTAATAGTCACAGTGGGAAAACAACATCCCCTATACACTTCCTGATGAACTCAGTCCGAGTGTAACCGGTGTGAAATGGCTAGCTAGTTAGCGGTGCGCACTAATAGCGTTTCAATCGGTGACGTCACTCGCTCTGAGACCTTGAAGTAGTTGTTTCCCTTGCTCTGCAAGGGCCGCGGCTTTTGTGGAGCGACGGGTAACGGTGCTTCGAGGGTGACTGTTGTCGATGTGTGCAGAGGGTCCCTGGTTCAAGCCCAGGTAGGGGCGAGGAGAGGGACGGAAGCAACACTGTTACATGTGTATACGTCAATGTTATTCTCAGAGGCTACCCGGAACATATCCCAGTCCGCGTGATCAAAACAATCTTGAAGCATGGATTCCGATTGGTCAGACCAGTGTTGAAATACCTTAGAATGGGTACTTCCTGTTTGAGTTTCTTCCTATAGGAAGGGAGGAGCAAAATGGAGTCATGATCTGATTTGCCGAAGGGAGGGCGGGGGAGGGCCTTGTAGGCATCCCGGAAGGAGGAGTAGCAGCGTTCGAGTGTTTTACCAGAGCGAGTAATGTGTTGATAGAACTTCGGTAGCGTTAACAGATTATAGAGCAAACAACGCAATTATCACAACACATAGGTTGTAATATGGCTTTTTTTCTGGGTTGGCTTCCCCAGTGATTTTACCCAAGCACCACTGCTGATAAAAGGTGGCATTCACATTGAAAATAATTATGAGAAGTGAGAATATTTTGAAGTTGGACTGCCTTTTCATATATAGGCCTACCTGGCTATTTATGACTTATTACACACTGTGTTTATTATATTATTACCCAAATGAGGTGCTGTGTAATATGGGGGATTCATTCTCTGCAGTGGGCTGAAATGTGTCACCACAGATAGATAAGGGTTAATGGTAAGGACATTGAAGACAATGGTATGGAGTTTTTAGAGGCAGGGGGCCTCTTTCTGGGGCAAGCTGTAGGACCGTGAGTTTGGGCACAGTTCCCTGTCTCTGTGTCACATTCAATTACGTAAGCTTCAGAGTGCTCTGAGGTTTCTGAATCTTCTCAGGACATCCCCAGACACCAATTATTATAAAATACATAGGCGCTTGTAACGCCAGGGTAGTGGGTTCGATCCCCGGGACTACCCATATGTAAAAATGTATGCACACATGACTGTAAGTCGCTTTGGATAAAAGCGTCTGCTAAATGGCATATTATTATTATTATTATTAGAATGCACAGCACTGAAATAGTAAAGTGATTTGAGTAATTATGATTAAGCTCATGAAATGTTTGTTGATATCGCGCAAGTTTCTAACCAGATTGTTGTTGTTTTTTAGTGGGTTGGTGGACGTTATTCCTTGTGGTCTTGCATTGGATTGTCCATTGCTCTGCACATCGGTATGTACATTATGTTATAGGTTTATTCTCCCAGTTTAGATATTCTAATGCTTTGATCAGCTGCCTGTACTCCAGCTGAGTAGAATAACCTTTGTAATCAGTTGTTAAAAGGAGATATTTGAAGTATAACTTAAAGCCTCTGGTCTTTTCTTTCTCCCCAGGCTATGACAACTTTGAGAAGCTTCTTGAAGGGGCTCACTGGATGGTAAGTACAGCCACTTCTTCTCACTGTCCAAAGACTTGGAAACGTTTCTATTGGTCAGATGAATACGTGTGAGTTGACCCCCTCTTGTTCCTGTAGGACAACCATTTCAAAACAGCCCCTGTGGAGAAGAACGCTCCCATGCTCCTGGCTATGCTGGGTGTCTGGTACATCAACTTCTTCCAGGCCGAGACCCACGCCATGCTGCCTTATGACCAGTACATGCACCGCTTCGCTGCCTACTTCCAGCAGGTCTGTCAGTGACTACCCGGGTTAAGAGCCTTTACCAGGGTTAAGAGTCACTACCACGGTTAAGACATAACTGAGTGTAACATAAGTAAACAGCCAAAGCAAAACACACTGAGGAATGTGTTCAATCTACTTTGGCAAATTACTATAAATACTATAAAAACCTATACACCCACTCCTTGCCCTGAAGGTAGGCTGTGGTCGTATATTGTCAGGCTTGTATTGATCAAATGGAAATGTGTTTTACTGTGCATACTAAGTCAAGGTTAGAAAGCCTGATGATAATGTTGTTTTAGTATGAGTTTAAATTGAACTGAAACCGAACACTGAAGATGTTAAATTAATGTCTGTAGGGTGACATGGAGTCCAATGGAAAGTACATCACTATCCATGGCAAACGTGTCAACTACCATACCGGCCCCATTGTATGGGGAGAGCCTGGCACCAACGGACAGCACGCCTTCTACCAGCTCATTCACCAAGGTACTGCCTCCTTAAAGTAACTGTCCAGTTAAAATCTGACATTTGAAAGTTAATATTCTCTTAACTCATACCCAGATAATTTTGTTGACTGGTCCTATACTTGTATTTGTGGCCAAAACATACATTTTAGAAGAAAAACACCCCCACCTCAAACAGCCCGTTTAAAAAATGCTTGCTATTTCCTCATAGAGCATGATGTCATGTTGGCTCATTGGCTGAGCTGGCCAATCAGCGGTCTACTCGCATTCATATTTTTGACCGGTATTCGCCCACACCATTCTGTTGTTGGGGTACGCCCACACCATTGCGACACAGAAAAGCTTTTTAACATACGCAATTACCATTTTTTTAAGGAAAACTATTGAACTCATATTGTCACTAATTATAGGTCATATTTCATAGAGTTCTGGAAACAATGGACATTACGTCTAAGGAAAAACATTAACCCCTTTCTTGTCTTGGACTAACTAAGTTTGGAGTAATGAGTTTATAGGGCCATAAGCTCTTCAACATATTGATTAATGTTCAGCTGAAATGGATGAGTATGTACAGTTGAAGTCGGAAGTTTACATACACTTAGGTTGGAGTCATTAAAACTTGTTTTTCAACCACTCCACAAATTTCTTGTTAACAAACTATAGTTTTGGCAAGTCGGTTAGGACATCTACTTTGTGTATGACACAAGTCATTTTTCCAACAATTGTTTACAGATAGATTATTTCACTTATAATTCACTGTATCACAATTCCAGTGGGTCAGAAGTTTACATACACTAAGTTGACTGTGCCTTTAAACAGCTTGGAAAATTCCAGAAAATGATGTCATGGCTTTAGAAGCTTCTGATAGGCTAATTGACATCATTTGAGTCAATTGGAGGTGTACCTGTGGATGTATTTCAAGGCCTACCTTCAAACTCAGTGCCTCTTTGCTTGACATCATGGGAAAATCAAAAGAAATCAGCCAAGAAAAAATTGTAGACCTCCACAAGTCTGGTTCATCCTTGGGAGCAATTTCCAAATGCCTGAAGGTAACACGTTCAAACAATAATACGCAAGTATAAACACCATGGGACCACGCAGCCGTCATACCGCTCAGGAAGGAGACGTGTTCTGTCTCCTAGAGATGAACGTACTTTGGTGCGAAAAGTGCAAATCAATCCCAGAACAACAGCAAAGGACCTTGTGAAGATGCTGGAGGAAACGGGTACAAAAGTATCTATATCCACAGTAAAACGAGTCCTATATTTGACATTTAAGTCATTTAGCAGACGCTCTTATCCAGAGCGACTTACAAATTGGTGCATTCAACTTAGGATAGCCAGTGGGACAACCATATCTTGATCACAGTAAGTACACTTCTTCAAACAAGCAGCTGTGAGCAAAGTCAGTGCAATCAGGGACAACTACATCTCGATCACTATATCGACATAAACTGAAAGGCCGCTCAGCAAGGAAGAAGCCACTGCTCTAAAACCGCCATAAAAAAGCCAGACTACGGTTTGCAACTGCACATGGGGACAAAGATCATACTTTTTGGAGAAATGTCCTCTGGTCTGATGAAACAAAAATAGAACTGTTTGGCCATAATGACCATTGTTATGTTTGGAGGAAAAAGGGGGTAGCTTGCAAGCCGAAGAACACCATCCCAACCGTGAAGGACGGGGGTGGCAGCATCATGCTGTGGGGGTGCTTTGCTGCAGGAGGGACTGGTGCACTTCACAAAATAGATGGCATCATGAGGAAGGAAAATTATGTGGATATATTGAAGCAACATCTCAAGACATCAGTCAGGAAGTTAAAGCTTGGTCGCAAATGGGTCTTCCAAATGGACAATGACCCCAAGCATACTTCCAAAGTTGTGGCAAAATGGCTTAAGGACAACAAAGTCAAGGTATTGGAGTGGCCATCACAAAGCCCTGACCTCAATCCTATAGAAAATTTGTGGGCAGAACTGAAAAAGCGTGTGCGAGCAAGGAGGCCTTCAAACCTGACTCAGTTACACCAGCTTTGTCAGGTGGAATGGGCCAAAATTCACCCAACTTATTGTGGGAAGCTTGTGGAAGGCTACCCGAAACGTTTGACCCAAGTTAAACAATTTAAAGGCAATGCTACCAAATACTAATTGAGTGTATGTAAACTTCTAACCCACTGGGAATGTGATGAAAGAAATAAAAGCTGAAATAAATCATTCTCGCTACTATTATTCTGACATTTCACATCCTTAAAATAAAGTGGTGATCCTAACTGACCTAAAACAGGGAATTTTTACTAGGATTAAATGTCAGGAATTGTGAAAAACTGAGTTTAAATGTATTTGGCTAAGGTGTATGTAAACTTCCGACTTCAACTGTATGTAATGGAAGAGTAATATGTGATATGTGACTGCTCTGTCCTCCACAGGAACTCGCATGGTCCCCGCTGACTTCCTCATCCCTGCCCAGACACAACACCCCATCAGGGAAAGTAAGCACCATAAGGTAAACTACCCCTACAGGACACATATTCCAGCACTACCAACCCCCTGGGCACAAACTGGTTGAATCAACATTGTTTCAATGTAATTTGTCAACGTATTGTGACGTGTAATCTACATGTAAAGTACATTGGATTTGGAAAAAAGTCATCAACTATTGTTTTGAGAGTGAAATTTCAAACACAGGATTATGTCATCATGGTAACCAAATTTCAACATAGACAAACTTTGTCTAAAATATGTTGAACCTTTAAAACAACGTCAGATCTTCAACGTTATATCCACTATCAGAAGAAAAAAACTATAGGCTGGGCAGCACCTCCTACTGGAGAATGTATCTATCTACAGCTACCCTTTGGTCTCCCATCCAGGGTTTTAACTAAGCCCAGCACTGCTTAGCTATTACATTTGTTACTGACGATTACCAATGTGATATTGTGAGAATGATTGTTGAGAGCTCTCCACTTAAAAACTAATTAGATTCACTCTTGCTATCGAAGTCATTCCAAAGGGTAGGTTTAACAGAGCAAATTAAATGTGACCGTACTTTATCACTCATATATCATCAATGATGCTATTTAGGCCTATATAGCATTTGCAAAGTCATCGACAGCTGTTGTTTCAATTCAACCCAGAATTCAACTAACAATAGACAATACAATAGACATTGGGTTTCAAGCTCTGGTTGATTTAAAATGTAATGATGATTAGTGATATTGAATTGTCTTTGGTTGTCAACGCTTCCAACATTTGAAGGAGATGTATCTTCTGCTTGGATAGTTCCATCTGTGCAATTGACTTAGTCTGGCTTGTATACAAATGAATAATTGATATGTTGGATTCACGTCTCCATCTCAACCAAAAATCTAAGTTAAAGAATAGGACTAAATCAAATCAAACTTTATTTAAAGTGCATTTAAAGTTTGAATTTATTTTATTTAGTTCTATTAATTAATTTAGATTTTTGGTTGAGATGGAGATGTAATCCAGCATATCAATTATTAATTTGTAGATAAACTAGAATTAAAGCCAGACTAAGTCAGTGGCACAGATGGAACTATCCAAGCTGAAGATAAATCTCCTTGACAACCAAACACAATTCTATATCACTTTTGACATACAATAAATACAGTAGCCTATTATTAACTTTTCAACAAGTTAACAAATTATATGTTGGATTCCCATCTCCAGCTCAGCCAAAAGTTAAAGAATGGGATTAAGCCAATGGCTCAGATGGAACTATCCAAGCAGTAGATACATCTCCTTTAAATATTGATATTTGGTTGCATTGTCAACCAAGCACAATTCAATATTACTTTTGTATTATAGTAAATAACCTAAAGTTAAGGCTTTCTTACAAACTAATGTAACATTCAACCTTAAAATGAGTAACACATCTATGGCCACATTATGAGGTTACTGTAACTATACATTTCTTCTTACTGTACAGTATGTAATCATATAAAGCATGCATGTTGCTGTAATAATCTGTATATAGAATCTCAAACGGCATTGATCACTTGCACCATGTACTTTTAATATAGTCTCAACTTCAATCCAGGCCATTTGGTTCTGCTATTAATGAAACACAGTGCTAACACATTAATCTGTTGTATAAATAAACAATATATCTGTCATTGTATTCCCATTTGAACTTTGCTCTGCTTTTAAATGGTTCAAGCAGTGATAGACATTTGGGTGACAACGAAACCAAAAATCAGACATTGTTTTTCCTTTGGAATTTGGTTGTGCTTTTATATAGATGGTTGAAAGCATAGTGATAACACTTTGGAAATTCAACAAACTTCTGGCTGTTTTTTTTAGTGGGTGAATATAGGTTATAATCTAATTGATCAACATGTCAACCAAATATTACCCAATTATCCACACTGAAATGACGTGGTGTATGTGGGAATGATCTGGGAGTAAATAACTTCACATTCAGTGACAGAGCTAATCATTCAGTTATTCAAGTGATGCCTACTTTTACTGTCTATCTGACAAAAGAGCCTATGCATTGTTTCATGCTGTGTGATACCAGGGATAATGCACAGGGGTAATGGGGTAATGCCTTACCTGTTGTATCCTCTGTGTCTGTAGATCCTGATGGCCAACTTCCTGGCCCAGACTGAGGCTCTGATGAAAGGAAAGACCACAGAGGAGGCTAGGAAGGAACTGGAGGCCGGCGGCCTGACAGGAGAGGCCCTGGAAACCATTCTGCCACACAAAGTGAGTGGGAGCAGATCACTCATGGCGCAAGTCCACTGCAGCCCCGGTCCGGCCTAAGACTTTCTATGGGCTTAAACTCTGGTGTTATACTAGGGAGATTGTGTGTCCATTGCTAGGGCAGACACTGTCACTCCTATAGGGACGTGCGTCCTCCTAGTGGACAAAATAAGTTTTGCATCAGGATGGAAGAAACTTCAAATGGGGTGCAACACTGTATAATTACTAGTATGTAATAACTGTCTTACAACAGGTTGTGTGATTATAAAATGTTTCCTCTTGTTCTGATGTCAGGTATTCCAAGGAAACAAGCCAACTAACTCTATTGTCTTCAAGAAGCTGAACCCATTCACACTGGGAGCACTTATTGGTAAGAGCTGAATATGGGCCTGTGAACCAACAACCAATGATATCTGAAATATTTATCATAATAATGTATTTACTTGTTATGCTCCCAGTAACAATGTCTGGTGTTGTTGTTTGTTTTACAGCCATGTATGAACACAAGATCTTTGTCCAGGGTGTTATGTGGGAGATCAACAGTTTTGACCAGTGGGGGTAAGTGTGACTATTTGAAACCAAGCTCCTCGATAATGTGTAATCTAAGACAGATTACAGACAGAGCCTATGTCCTATGAAATTGTACCAAACAATGTTTAATTGACATTCTATTCTGTCCACTCTGGTGAGTTTTCTGGTGACATTCTATTCTATTCTGTCCACTATTCTCCCTCCCTCCCTCCCTCCCTCCCTCCCTCCCTCCCTCCCTCCCTCCCTCCCTCCATAACAGAGTTGAGCTGGGTAAGGCTCTGTGTAAGAAGATCGAGCCTGAGCTGCATGGCTCCAACGAGGTTCACTCTCACGACTCCTCCACCAATGGGCTCATTAACTTTATCAAGAAGAACCACGCCTAACCTGCCCACCACCATCATCCATCCTCCCTGTCCTGTCCCCCTGCTGATGGGGGTGTCTGGGCTGTAGTGAAGATAGACTCGCTGAAGCATCTGTCACCTCCACACAGAGGAGCAGAAGCACTTTCTATGTCTGTAATCATCTGTCTGTGTCCTGTATGTTTGTTGTGCCATCGGACTGTATTTTACGTACCGTTGTATGTTGATGAGTTTACCACTGTAAAGGGGAACGCTACTGTAGAGTAAGCCTGTGGAAGGGTGTGTAAACTATATCCCAGACTATCCCACTCCATTGATGGGGAGTGTGGCTGTTAATAAACATCTTTACACCAAGCTATTGTCTGTCGTTAGTTGATTCTAGCCTGCATTCTGTTCAGAAGTTTGCAGTTGCAGACAACCCTAGAGGATAATGATGCAATCATGTATGAATAATTGAAACAACTTTCAAAATTATAGAATGTGTCATTCACACTCTCAATCAATCCAATGAGTTTTACTTATGGGGGAATGTAAGTGTTCCTTTATGTCCAAACCATCACTAGATGGCATTAGAGGACCCCAGATTTGGTCCAGCGTAAACCAAAACAGCCTCAGAGCAAATCACTGTTGTGTTTATTCTCTGGAACACAGGGGCAGAGGTCAGCCTATCTCCTCTATTTTCCATCCCCAGACATCACAGACTGTTAAGTAGCATACATACACAGAGAAAAACAAACAGCAGGCAGAAATATATCTGGAAAACATCATGTGATGTGCAGGCCCTCAATGTGAGACAGTTTAATCATCATTAAGCTCTATGATGTGCAGCTAAAACTCCATTAAACAAAATACTCTGTGAATTTCAAACAAACAATGTCTCATCATACTTTCTGCTTGTATATTACATATTACTTTGCTGTGCAATGCTTTTCCATGATACTGTATGCACGAATATGTCTCCTCATAAGACCAGCAAGTACATTACCATGATGTTGTACGTAAGAATATACTGAGTGTACAAAACATTAAGAACACCTTCCTAATATTGAGTTGCACCCCCTTTTGCCCTCAGAACAGCCTCAATTCGTCGGGCATGGACTCTACAATGTGTCGAAAGCGTTCCACAGGGATGCTGGACCATGTTGACTCCAATGCTTCCCACAGTTGTGTCAAGTTGGCTGGATGTCCTTTGGGTGGTGGACTATTCTTGATACACACGGGAAACTGTTGAGCGTGAAAAACCCAGCAGCGTTGCAGTTCTTAACACACTCAAACCGGTGCGCCTGGGACCTACTACCATACCCCATTCAAAGGCACTTAAATATTTTATCTTGCCAATTCACCCTCTGAATGGCACACATACACAGTCCATGTCTCATTTGTCTCAAGGTTTAAAAATCCTTCTTTAACCTGTCTCCTCCCCTTCATCTACACTGATTGAAGTGGAAGGTGACATCAATAAGGGATCATAGCTTTCACCTGGATTCACCTGGTCAGTCTATGTCAAGCATGGAAAGAGCAGGTGTTCCTAATGCTTTATACTCTCAGTGTATGTCTCATCATAAGACCAGCAAGTGCATTACAGATGACTTTGCTGCGCACATGCTTTTCCCATAATACTGTATGCAAGAATATGTGATGTTTGTTTCCACCAACCTAAAGTACTATTTGTCTCTGTACCAAACTGCTCCTGGTTATAATTTACAGAGTGCCTAAGAGCACAAAGAGAAAAACCCAGGGACCCAAGACACAGTGATGGGCTAAGCAATCCCGTTGCTTGGCAACAACTCTATACTTCAATCATAAGTTAGCCTGAGTTATTTCAGGCTCAGTGGCACAGAATATAACAAGTGAGTTTTGATATCATTCTGGAGTGAGAGAGAGAAAAAAATTGAAAAAAAGTTATTGATTTATATTTGCATCTGCTTGGTCAGGGAGAAAAGAATTGGAGGAAGTAGTCTTCCGAGTAGCCTACCAACCCGTTCTAGGACCCATGCACTTTTCAAGTTACATTCAGGAATGCAGCTCAAATTGCTCCATTGAAACCATGAATTTTGAACATGAATACGACTGCCAGTTCAGAGCATGTTCCTGAGCTGTTTCAAGAACAATGCCTACTGCATTCCCTCACATTCCCCTGCATGCTTTATTGGTTGACCTGTCAGTCATTCTCACTGAGGCCTGTTTAAGAGCTGACCCTTGATCAGGATCTCAACCTCCCCAACACCTCGGTCGCCAAGGCAACGCCACCCCTCCAGAGAGTAGGAGCTGGGAGTGGATCTGTGTTAACTGGCTATTAGCCAGCTGGGGTTTGTGTTTGTCCATACCTCATCATCACTTGATTTGATTTGAATTCCTGTTTTTAGCTATGTGCTTCACCATGAGGACCAGCACAAACCTCCTGGAGTATTTTGAAGTCAATACTGTATATACGACACATTTCTGCATGTGTAACACGTACCATGAAAACTTCATTCTGAGGAGAAGTTCACCATGCAGTTCGACAGTTATGTTTGCTAGTCACTTGAACTTTGCAGGAATGCCATTGATAAAATATGATCTCATATCTCGACACACTTCCATGGGATATTTAATTTCGAAGGCAAATATTACTCCTGAAATACTTGCAAAGCAAACTCACAGATTCCCCTCTTATAACCCAGAGGATGGCCCTCTAATTTTCTCAGTTGGTCTCCAGTCTGTATCTACTATTGACATCCCTCACATGGCGGACCCTCGGCCTACAGCTGTAAAAAGGGGCCATTTAGTCAGGCCCTGTTCCGTATTTCCCACGGCTACTAGAGTTATATAAAGGTTAGTCTCTAAGTGTGTGGGCAGGCATTGCTCCTCGTCATCATACTGCTGACTAGTATAAAAGCTAGGGGAACAGTGGGAACAGTGGGGCTGGGGGCCTGGAGCTCTGGGTGGTCCCTGGCATTGTGGATCCTGTCTGCCAGGGGTGGCAGTGACATTGTCAGTCACATCTCTGCGACATGCAGGCCAGGTTTTTCTGACCCCCACGACAATCAACTTTTTGACTTGATTTCTGCCAAACTACCAGACAGACAGCTGTGGCTTGTTTATTTTCACAGGCCCCTGGCCACCTCTCTGTCATTTATTCAAGCCATGTGATTTTGGAGTGATGAGTAAATCGACTTGAGCCTTCAGTTGGTGTTCTATCTCTCTTGACCATTTGGTGAGGATCCAGCACGGTGACATTGTTGATGTTGATGGTCATAGAGGACAGTTATGCACATTGATATTAACAGGTCAGAGGTCATACCCTGATGTTTAACTTGTTAAGTATTTAACATCTAACACATGTAATTGGTTCACTTTTAGATACAACACCACAGACTAACTTGTCTGTAACCATAAAATCATGTTGGGTATGAGGTAATTCTGTTGTGTGCATATTCCTGGGCTCCTGGTGGTGGAGGGATCTCTGTGCTCCAGAGGGAAGGCTTTCCTTTGTGTGGTGTAACAGATCTCACCTCACAGTGGGTCCCTGGGGCTCCAGCTACACCGCACACACACAGAGCTCCCTGAGTCACAGGGCGGTACCCTCACACACACATAAAGAGTGCTTTGTGCCCCAACTCCTGGAGCTGTCAACCAACACCAGAGTTCTTCCTCACGTAGACTGAACTGAACATGATTGTTCAGGAGCGCTCAGCTCGGCTGCCCGGTTGGGGACAGACTGTTCTGCTGCTTACTCCTACGCATATACAGTACAGTACACATCCATACTGAATCATACCTGAGCATGTCCCAGTTAGTCATAACAGATTACATTGACATTGAGTGTGATTTATCTGGATGGGTTGGGGTGTATTTTAGGAGGCTTGGTAAGAACCTCACACGTCCTCCTCCGCGTCTGACCCTGGATGAGTACATATTTTACCAGTGAAATCTACCTGCCCACTCATTCACTTATACAGTCTGAAAGAGAGATGGCCTGAGGGGATAACAATACCTAAATTGTCACGCCCTGGCTCTGGGGACTCTTTAATGTTGAGCCAGGGTGTGTAGGTTCTATGTTATAGTTTTCTATGTTTTGTTCTAGATCGTTGTATTTCTATGTTGGCCAGGGTGGTTCCCAATCAGAGGCAGCTGATTCTCGTTGTCTCTGATTGGGAACCATACTTAGGCAGCCTGTTGGCACTTTTGTTTTGTGGGATCTTGTTCCGGAAGGTTTGTGTATTTAACCTAGGACTTCACGTATCGTTTATTGTTTTGGTTCGTTGTGTGTACACTAATAAAAGTATGTACGCCTATCACGCTGCGCCTTGGTCCGCTTCATCATGTGTCAACGATCGTGACATAAATTACCTACTTCCAGTTCATGCAATCCTGCCCAATGCAATGCCTATCCATTACACAGAACAACCAAACGACAGAAGTAAATACATTTAGGTGAGAATTTGTTTTATTGAACCAGTTATATTAAGGTGGTCTCTGCCACTGAACCTGTCCTTGGAACCATCCCAACACTCTAGTCCAGCGGGTCAGTTTGTATGCTTTTTATCTCAACTCTGTGCTGACCGTCATTTTCTGCCCTGGCCCTGATAAACACTTTCCCAATCCATGTTAGCTCTAGGCTCTGTTCTGTCACAACCAACCGCTCCTGAATTCCAGGCCTGCTGACTGACCAACCTCCGGCCTTCACAGCCTTTGTTCTGGACTTCAGAGGGGGAATACCTCAAAATCAAAAGCAGCACATTTCCTATTCAATAATGATTCTGTTCACAACTTTAAAAGCAAAGTCAGGCAATTCAGTTTGTATGACAAATATAAACCTCTCTACTCTCAAAATAGCATGAATTGTGTATGCTGATGGTATTCTCTGTACACTTGACAGAGAATCATGGCATTGTTGCCATGGCACCCTTATGGCAGCCTAGGCTGATCGCTCTGCTATTTTCATTGTAATTTATTGTTTTAAGTGTTTTTTTTATGTGCATTTTTCTTGAATAAACTTTTGTTTTTGTGTAGCTAATCAAGTATTGATAATATTTATCAAATAATTTTTTGCCTCATTGTTGAAATCAGACAAAAAAAAATGCCTTTCTGTCATCAACAAAGTAAAGCTAGCTGATTGTTTTCTTTGCATGGTCCTAAAGCATACCGTTGCCTCGTTTTATATCACATTCCAATGCTAAAACTGGGGTGGACAAAAATAAAATGTCAGAATGTGCATCCCCAGTGAAAGTTGCACCCCTGCTTGACGGAAACGTGGCACAGAAATTGAGATTTCTACCTACTCCATCTGGCTATAAATATCTGGAAAAGGCCCTTGCACATTGCATGGGTGGTGGTCTTGCTGTTTTCCACAAATAATGTTTTGACCTGAA